GGGGTCCCCACTGGGGTGCCTGGCCAGCCTGGATGAGGGCATGATGGCTGTTTGCATCTGGTCACACCCCCTTCAGGGTGGGGGTCTCCACTGGGGTGCCTGGCCAGTCTGGGTGAGGGGCTGAGGACCGTTTTCAGGCTGGTGGGTGACTGAAGCTCCCAACTGCTCCTTTTTTCTTTTTTTTTTATTCTGGGCCAGCTTTAGCTCTGAGGCTCGGCTCCAGCTATGAGGCCTCCGCTGCTGAAAGCAGGTTTCTGGCCTTTGTTTACCTTCTGTATTTGAAACAATGTTGCGATTCTGCTGGCTGAAGCCCGGCTGACTAAAGCAGGTTTATGGGGTTTTTAGCTTCTATATTTGTAACAATGTTTCAAACTGCAAGCTCAGAGGCCGGCAGCAGCAGGTGGGGAACCTGGCTTCCTCCGTCACTGGAGCAAGCAAGCCTCCCTGTTCGCGTCAGCTGCCTGGCTGCCTGCTGCCATCTTGGCTGGCAGTTAATTTGCATAAGGATATGCTGATTAGCCAATGGGAAGGGTAGCGGAGGTACGGCTAATTACCATGTTTCTCTTATTAGATAGGATTTTTTTTGTGTGTGACAAGAGTAAATTATATTTGATTTCAAATTATGCACCCATATCCTCTTCAGGTCCCTGTTCTCAACTCTTCTTTAAAATTAGACATTTTAGTAGCTTAGAAATCATTTCAGAGCAGGGGGAAAAAGAGAAGGACCCAAAGTTGGCCAGAAAAAATCCACAACACAAATGAATTTCCTCACAGGTAGCTGAAAAGAAGACTGCAAATAAAGCTGTCCCTATCCATGTGACCTCAGGATGAATTTTAAATTCAACAGTTAACCTCAGAATAAAATAAAAATATTCCAGGTCACAAACATACTCTTTCCATTCCAGAGACATTTAAGCTTTCCTCCCTATATACCAGGGGTAGGTAACCTTTTTTCTGCCAAGGGTCATTTGGATGTTTATAACATCATTCGAGGACCATACAAAATTATCAACTTAAAAAATTAGCCTGCTATATTTTTGGCAGGGCTAGATCAATTGATTATAAGACCCTTGGGTCGGACATTCCCTACTCGTGATATATACTCTAGATCAGTGTTTCTCAAACATTTGCTCTTAAGGACTCTTGCTTTCTTAAATATTGAGAAGTATGAATTATATATCAGTAAAAACGTTTAAAAAGTTACTGAAGATTCCAGAGCTTTTGTTTTATTTTTTTGTTAATCCTCACCCAAGGACATTTTTTCCATTGATTTTTAGAGAGAATGGAAAGAAAGGGTTAGGGGAGAGAGAAACATTGATGTGAGAGAGACACATTGATTGATTGTCTCCTCCGTGTACCCCAAGCGGACCAGGGATCAAACCTGCAACCCTGGTACATGCTCTTGACTGGGAATGGAATCCTCCACCCTTGGGTGCGGAGGCCAGTGCTCCATTCACTGAACCACACCAGCCAGAGCCTAAAGAGTATTTTTTAAAATGTAAAATAGCTTTTCCAGTTAAAGAAATAGAAGTGACATTGTTTTATTTTTAATGTCTTCAATGTCTGGCTTAACAGCTAGTTCTCATCCGTGCCTCTTGCAATGAATTAGTTTGGTTGAACTATGTGATGAAAATCTGGCCTCATACAGATACTTAGTGGAAAAGGAAGGAGTATTTTTAAAAAAAATACATTTTTATTGATTGGAGAGAGATAGAAACATCAATGCGAGAGAGAATCATTGATTGGCTGCCTCCTGCACGCTCCTACTGGGGATTGAGCCCACAACCCAGGCATGTGCCCTGACTGGGAAATGAACCCTGATCATGGTGGATGCACAACCACTGAGCCACACCGGCCAGGATAAGACTATTTTTGTAACTGAAGCATCGTGCAAGAATATCTTTGCTAGTTCTTGGGGTGCATTTGTTGTTAGACACAAATCATTAAGCTTACTAAATAGGTTCAAATTCAGTTTAATTCTTAGGTGTGAGCAAATAAGGTTGAAATGGTATTAGTGAATGTTTTTAATTTTAGAAGAACGTGTGCTGAAATAATTGTGATTGAAGTATGTTTGCAACTTGCAGATGATTGAGAAAAACAAATTACATATAGCCAGTATCAGACTGAGATACATTTTTTTGTGTCTGAAATTTTCTGTAATAAAAATTTGGAGTAGGGAAGTATACCCATTAATATAATACAATTTTTATAATTTACTGGTACTAAATTGCAAACTGCTATAGATAGCTTTTGATGGGTTTAGTCTGAAAATATTCTTTCCGTTGACTGTTCTGTAATTGAAGCTACTTTCATGTAGTTTTTCTGTTGGGAAGATATTTTTTTAAAAAAGTGATTTGTTTTTAAAATGAAGGAGAAATTGTGTTATATTTCTTAAGATGTGAAATTTTAAGTACTTAAAATTACTCAATAACGTTTATTACTAATAGAATTTTTGGTAAATAAAAAGGTTACTAACATGTCATACTTTGTTTAGTAAATAAAAAGTAAAGGGGATTGATGGGCATTTTCATTTTTTTTAGATAGATTAGATTAAAAGACATTTTATTTGGACTTTGGGTAAAATCAGAGAAATTTATTGCACCCAGTTTTCTCTCTTCTGCTTTTTTATTTAGAAGGGAAAATACAGCCAAATTTCCCAACCTATTTGAGATGGAAAGAGGTAGGATGTGATGGCAGTTATATTCTTAGATTAATAAAGACACAAGGATGTTGGGTCATCTAGTGATTTGCAAAATTGTAAAGATAATCTTTTGATTCTGATATACGTGTAGCTGGAAACTATTCCTCCATTTTGCTTAGAACTATGGAAGGGATGAAAAGTGGTGACCTGTGTGCATATGTATGTGTGTGTTTGGTTTGTTTTTTGTAGTGTATAGTATTGGGGAGTTCATGACTGCCAAAAGTTATTTAAATTACCCCATGCATATCTGGTTTTGAGGTACTAGCATTTTTTTTTTTGCACTTTGATTTGTACTTTATTGCCAACTATATAATCTCAAGGAAATTATTTGTTACTTTCTAATGGAAAATACGGGTAGTATGCTTTGTATGGGGCAGAATATCAAATGGTAACCTTAATTAAATATTTATAAGATCATATTCATGTTAGTGAATAGGAATAACACAGCCTTTTTTCTTCTTTTGTAGCATAAGCAGTACTATAATGGATGTAGACAGCACAATTTCCAGTGGGCGTTCAACTCCAGCAATGATGAATGGACAAGGAAGCACTACTTCTTCAAGCAAAAATATTGCCTATAATTGTTGTTGGGACCAGTGCCAGGCTTGCTTCAACTCTAGTCCAGATCTGGCAGATCACATCCGTTCCATACATGTAGATGGTCAGCGAGGAGGGGTTTGTTTTGTCATTTCTTTTTTTTACTCCCTGTGTTCATTAGTTTTATTAATTTATAATTGATAGGCTTTTTCCCCCCTCTAAGTAATTTGGGATTGTTTTTATACAGGCTTTATTTTTTCAAATGTTTGCAAATTTCCACTTGATGCAATCAAATTAAATAGAACATATGATGTGGTCTTTAATTTGCTCTTAGGTATATTAGACTTTCTAAAGTATAGTCGGAATATTATAAATGAATACAGTGTATTCCAAAGTTCTGATGTTTTCAGTTGAGGACATTTAGGATTTGACACTTTATGATTTCTGTTAGGGTGGTTCTAAATTATCCCTGATGCTGAAATTAACTGGAGAGACCATTGGTATCAGGATTAGTGTATACAATCCTATTAAATGAAAATCTGCATTTACTATTTGCGAATGAAAACTGATCATCTTTTCCCAGGTCTTATCAGAGCTGATTTAGATAAAAAGTTCTGATTAGTCAGTATTGACTTATATTCTTTCAGGAATACATTTATACATTGTGTCAGTTCTTTTTTTTTAAATATATCTATATTGATTTCAGAGAGGAAGAATGAGGGAGAGAGAGATAGAAACATCCATGATGAGAGAGAATCATGGATCGGCTGCCTTTTGCAGGTCCCCCCTGGGGGTCGAGCCCACAGTCCAGGCATGTACCCTTGACCTGAATTGAACCTGGGACCTTTCAGTTCGCAGGCCGATGCTCTATCCACTGAGCCAAACCGGGTAGGGCAGTTCTGATAGTTTTATTGGATAGTAAATAAAGAGCTGAGCTAATTAGGTGAGTCAAAGTGGAATGGAACAAAATCTTTATAATATTATTTCTACTATTTATATTATTTTCAGCTTTATCTAGGTTTGTCTTGAATAATTACCATGTTTAGTACATTTTCTAGGAATTAATGTTACATTGTAAATACTGATAGTTTATTAGGCCACACATTTTCCATCACCCTGCCATCACTGTTGAGATATACTTATACTAAAACGGTTAAAATCATTAGGGTTTAAGTGAGTATGCAGCTGTTTCCAAGGTTCTATTATTGATCTTTAACCAAAAAACAATATAATCATATAAGCACCCCTAACATATTTACCTGTGGTATTACATTTAAAAACTTCTTTAAAAAGTATTTGCCGTTGTCACCATATGTTGTAATGTGTTAGCAGTCTTTTAAATACTCAAGCTTGATAAGTAAACATTTGTCTTATTATTAGATTTAATATATATGGTGTCTGGGTAGATACCAGATGGTGTATTAATAAACTGTTCATCCTATGGTTTTTCACTGTTTAACCATCTCAGTGGTTAGGCAACTTTGGTAATATGTTTCTCCCCACCATACCTGCCCCTCCCCAATCAGGTTTTTGGTGAGAATTTTACTTTTTAAAAAAATATATATATTTTTATTGATTTCATGAAAGAAGGGAGAGGGAGAGAGAGAGAGAGAGAGAGAGAGAGAGAGAAGCATCAGTGATGAGAGAGAATCTTTGATCGGCTTCCTATTGCAAGCCCTAAACTTGGGATTGAGCGCACAACCCGGGCATGTGCCCTGACCAGGAATCAAATCATGATCTGGTTCATAGGTCGACACTCAATCACTGAGTCATGCTGGCCGGGCTGAGAATTTTCTTAACCAAGTTGATTTCCTAGTCATTACTGAGTTGCCTTTTGCGAGTCAATGCTTGATGTCACTTGGTATATATCACTACAGTAGTCTTTTGAGCCATGGCATGATGCTTTTTAGTAACTTGACTTAGCAGCTATGTAAAGGATTCCGAGCTATGTAGAAGATCCCTGGGTTTCTCTTAGTAAATGTGGAAGAATTTCACATTTCTAAGTCTTGGATTTTACAAGTTTAGTTGGCACACAGCCTTACGAGAATGTTTTCAGCTCTTTACAGATTTGTAGAAAAAATGTGACTTATAGATTGAATGTATCATGTAGTCACTGCAACTACATGCACCTTATTTATTTTTTAATATATATATATTTATTAATTTCAGAAAGGGAGAGGGAGAGAGAGATAGAAACTCATATGATGAGAGAGAATCATTGATTGGCTACCTCCTGCACACCCTCTCCTGGGGATTGAGTCCACAACCGGGACATGTGCCCTTAGCGGGAATCAAACCTGGGACCCTCCAGTCTGCAGGCTGATGCTTTATCCACTGAGCCAAACCAGCTAGGGATACATATACCTTATTGATGATATAGAGCTAGACATGAAATCTTGTTAATTTCTATAATAAGTATAAATTTGTTGAAATGAAAACCCCTATGTCATTTCTTGAATCCTTATTCATAAAATTACTTTGTTACAAATAATGATATTCT